TTCTTTTCTTGAAAATATAACGAGAAGGAAGGGAGGGAGGGAGGGAGGGAGGGAGGGAGGTTGAGAAACACTCTTGTAGATGTTTGGATTTATCAGCCACCCAGACAGCTCCATCGCCAGGGAGTGACCGGGAGGAGATCACCGGGTGGCCTCCCATCCCCGCTGGCCTACCTCTCACGGCTGTCTCCGCGCAGTCCTTGGGGAGGTTGTTGGCCAAAGCGACATCCACCAGGTTGACCTCACGGTCTTCTTGGAAGTAGAGTTCTCCTTCCTTAACGGCCCGGAAGGGCAGAGGCTCCGGAGCGCCATGGCCACACACCACCTGTAACGGGGGAACAGCCTCACGTTCTGCACTGGCCTCCGGCCCTGCCCACTTTATACCACTTGGGGACTTCAACTCCCAGAATTCCTCAGCCAGCCACGTTGCTGGTTGCCCTGGCATTTCATTGCCTAGGCCTCAATTTACGACCACAACCGAGCCCTGCATTTCTGTTGCTAAGCGAGACGGTTAAGTGAGCTTTGTCCCGTTTTACGACCTCCCTTGCCATAGTTGTTAAGCGAATCACTGCAGTTGTTAGTTGAGCCACCACAGTTCTGTCTACAGGCGGTCCTCGACTTACAACCGCAATTGAGCCCCTAATTTTGTTGCTAAGCGAGAGAAGAGAATTTTGCCCCATTTTACGACCTTTCCTGCCGCCGTTGTGAACTGAATCACTGCTGAGATTAAGCGAGTCACACGGTTGTTAAGTGAGCCTGGCTTCCCCATTGTCAGAAGGTCACAAAAGGGGATCACGTGACCCCGGGATGCTATGACCATCGTAAATATGAGTCGGTTGCCACGCACCTGAGTTTTGATCCCGTGACCCACGGTCATAGGTGTGGAAAACTGCCTTTCTAACTTCAAATGGTCACTAAATGAAGCATTGTAAGTTGAGGCGGTGTGCGTCTCTGGCTATGGCGGAATGCAAGAGGTCCCCTCCCCTCCCCCCACTCCTCACTTCCACGTTGCTCCATCGCAGAGCCCGGTTGAAGTCCTCCACCGTCAGCCTCCGCCGTCTGGTGTGCTTCATGAACTGGGAGCTGTTCTGCAGGGAGGCAAGAAGGAGGTCCGGCGTAAGCACAGGGTCCCGTCCCCCCCCCCGGCCCAACAGCGTCCGGAGTGAAGCGCTGCGCAGTGGCCCCTCCGGAGGGCTCCTGGCTCAGCAATCAGAAAGCAGCTGCCGGGTCCCATCGGTCCCTCTCGAGGGGGACGCTGCCATTCTGGTGGGGAAGGGGCCTTTAGAATAAGATAGGATATAGGATAGGGATAGGAAGGAATAGGAATAGCATGCAGAATAGAATAGAATAAAATACAAATAGGAATGGAATGGAATAGGAATAGAATAGAATAGGAATAGAATGCAGAATAGAACAGAATAGAAATAGGAATAGAATGCAGAATAGAATAGAATAGAATAGAATAGAATAGAATAGGAATAGAATAGGAATAGAATAGGAATAGAATAGGAATAGAACAGAAATAGGAATAGAATGCAGAATAGAATAGAATAAAATAGGAATAGGAATGGAATAGGAATAGAATAAGAATAAGAATAGGAATAGAATGCAGAATAGAATAGGAATAGGATAGAATAGAAAAAGGAATAGAATGCAGAATAAAATAAAATACAAATAGGAATGGAATGGAATAGGAATAGGAATAGAATAGGAATAGAATGCAGAATAGAACAGAATAGAAATAGGAATGGACTAGGAATAGGAAGGAATAGTAATAGAATAGAATCGAAATAGGAGTGGAATAGGAATAGAATAGGAATAGAATGCAGAATAGAACAGAATAGAAATAGGAATGGACTAGGAATAGGAAGGAATAGTAATAGAATAGAATCGAAATAGGAGTGGAATAGGAATAGAATAGGAATAGAATGCAGAATAGAACAGAATAGAA